ATCTCAGGTTAGAGGCATTTATTGACGCAGCTTTATCCACCGGTAATGGAGCTGGTGATAGTTACACTTTGCGTAAACAGACAAAAGAACATTATTGCCTCTGTTTTCATTTGGCCTTTCTTTCAAAACTTTTTTTTAAATATTTTTATTTTACGTGTATGTGTGTACGTAACTGCACCCATCTCATTCAGTGCACTCACGACGGAAGAGGCTGTCGGATCCCCTGGAACTGCAGTTACAGACAGTTGTTAGCTGCCATGTGGGTGCTGGGATTCGAAACCTGGTCTTGTGCAAGAACAAGCAGTGTTCTTAAGCGCTGAGACATCTCTCCAGCCCCCACTTTCAATACTTACTGCAAACTAATTACACTGTGCGCCATCCATCGTCAGAGAGTCTCTTCCATATGGAGTCTCTCCCATGTTGTTGAGACTCTTGTTACATGACCGTGTGTGTGAACTTTCATGCAGGAATAGGTCTCTAGTTCTTTCCCTAGTCTTTCCTGTCCATGCTATCAGGGAACTACTGGCATTATCTAAAAGAAACTGGGAGGTCTGTTCCTCCCAACCCCGTGTGGGGGCCCACGACTTTATGCAGCACTCAGGAGGCAGAGGCCAGCTTGCTCTACATTGTGAGATCCACGCCAGCTGGGGCTACAGGGAGACCGTGTCTGAAAATAAACGCCAAACCAAACCAAAGCGAGCTGTGGTTTTTTGTTTTTGTTTTTTCCTGAAGTGTTCAGTATACACACCTCTGAGGTCATCTGGTCCTTCGTACAAGGTTTGTGAATACAGATTCACCATCTAAAGGTAGGACGTTGCTGACTTCTTTGTCTTACGGAGGAAGCTTCGTGCCTTGGAAAGGATTAACCCATTTCATTTCAGTTGTCAAACTTACTGACACTAAGCAGTTCCTATGTCTCTTTTTGCCCTTTGTTGTTTTTAGGACCCTTTTGTAATGGACCTTGAGAAATTCGGGTCTCCTCCTTCCTCCACTGGTGCTGGACTGCTCGGTCATTTAATTTGATCTTTTCAAAGAACCAGCATGTGTTTTCATTGACTTTCTGTACAGTTTTGATACCATTTTTTTTTTCTTACTCATTTATATTTTTGTTTGTTTTGGTTTAGGTTGACATTTTCTCTCCACTTTCTTATGGGGAAAGTCTAATTCATCAATAATCATCTTTCTTATGGTTTGGGGGCTCTTTTTTGGGTTTCAGTGGGAGTTCTGTGTTGCTCCAGGCTGGCCTTGAACTTCCTTTGTACGTAACGATGACTTTGAACTTTTGATTCTCCTCAGTACCAGGATTATGGACTTGCAGTACACATTTATACAGTGCTGCAGATTGAACCAGGGCCTGGTGCATTCTGGGAAAGCGCTGTACCAACTGAGCTACCCTCCGAGCCCCTGCTTAGATTTTTGTCATGTGTCAGTTTCTGTCAAATCTTGATGCCAAACCTCCCTTCTGATTTAACTCAGCATTTAACAGTCTCGGTTTTCCCACACACACTATTCCATTACAGTCTAGAAATTCTAGTCTGCTTGTTCTCTACAGGATACTACCAAATTTCTCTTTTTTATTTCATCTCTGACCCCTGTCTAATAAGCAGGTATGTCATGTTCAAATGTTTTGTCATTTTCCAAATGCTTTTCCATTACTGGTATCAAATTTAATTTTTGTAATTGGGGATTATATTTGGTATGATTCGAATTATTTTACATTTCTGAGAATTGTATCAATGGCTTAGTATGTTCTGTCTTGTTAACTTCTCCATGTGGCCTTGAAAATATCACGGGTTCTGCTGTTGAGTGTAATATTATGAAAGTACAGATTAGATCCCGTTGCTTAATGGTACTTTGGAAGTCCAGTCTGTTCTTGTCCATTTGCCTGGTATACCAGGTTACTAAGAGTAGAGCTGGAAACCCCTGTTCATGTATGCCTCTACATAAGTGTAGTGTTTGCTTTATGTGTTTTGGAAGCTGTGTTGTTTGATGCATACACATTTAGAAACAATGTATCTCTTTAAAAATGTTTTAAGGTAATTTGTTACTGTTTTATTTGTATGAGTGTTTTGCCTATATGTATGTAAGTGGGCCCTCGGGGGCCAGAAAAAAGCATTGCATCCCCTGGAACTGGAGTTACAGATGGGGTGTTGGCAGGGTTGCTGGGAACCAAACCCCGGTCCGTGCCAAGAGCAGCCAGTACTCTAAACAGTTGAGCCAGCTCTCCATTTCCCAGTGTGTCTTCTCGATGAACATTTGGCAGGCGTATTTGTCCCTGTGTCAGGACTGGTCAATCATTGTGTAAAGTCCTCTGTCTATGATTAATATATTCACTTTGTCTCTTCAGTGGGAGTTATATAATACAGAGTTTTTATTGTATTTTTATATATGCATATATTAATCTACTTGAATATTTACATTTAAATGAGATTTCTTTTTATATTAGACTTACTTAAACAACTTGCAGTTGTGTTTAAATTAACTTTCTATCAGTAACACACAGTTGGGTCTTCTGTTTTTGTTTCGTTTTTCCATTCTGGCTATCTCTGCCTGGTTATATTTGTAATATGTCACAAGCTGCTTGTTGTCAGGTCACTGTCTACTGATACATTCATCTCTGTCTCTTCTGCATATGCCTGTGTTGACTGGGTTTTCTTCTCCCGCTGGGTGAAAAGCTCGCTTGTCTTCTTATTTCTAGGTGTAGAAATGTAGGCTAGAAGCTGGACTCTGGGAATGTGACATGCGGCAGAATGCAAACTTTGCTGCCTTCCCTGTGGCCTCTCTGACTTTGTGCCCACCGAGTAGGATCTGCTCCTGCCTGCCTTTGGCTTCTCCTAGCCGAAGCTCTGCAGAGTGGCAAGCTCTTACAAGTCCCTGCACCCTTCCAGAAGGGTTTGTTGAAAGCAACATTCACACTGTCTGTCTAGCTGCCGACAAAGTGGGATGCTGTGTTGTGTCATTTTGAACCTAGGAATGATTGTGATTATTCAACATATCCTTTCCAGTAAACCATAGATGTTTCTGTGAGTTTACAGGAAGTTTCTATTGTTCAACTTCAGGGGCAGGTAGAAAGTGTTCATGCTGTGATTCCTAATGCATTTCTGATGGCGAGCCCTGAGCATTTGACTCTGTTAACCTGTAGTTAGTCCTTTTTTCTTTTTCTTTTTTTTGGTCTTTTTGAGACAGGGTCTCCCTGTAGCCCCAGCTGTCCTGGAACTCACTATGTAGACCAGGCTGGCCTTGAACTCACAGAGATCCACCTGCCTCCGGCTCCGCAGGGCTGGGATTAAAGGCACGCACCACCATGCTTTCCTTAAAGTTAGTCTTTATAGCTCGTTCCATGTGGGAATAGATGCTGCCTTCACACAGGATGCTCTTGTTCCACCGTGCTGGGGAGCCGTAGTTGATGTGGGCCTGGTCCCTTGTAAAAAGCAGTGCTCCAACAGGTCCTCAGCACGAGGCTTGGCCTCACATCATTATCTCTTCTCCCCACCGGTGCTAGGACTCAGCTCCTTTCTGCAGAACGCAGAAATTTCTGAGAAAAAGCAAAGTTCTTATATATTCATTGGTCCTGAATAAAAACATGGTGCAGCCGAGGTTCTGCTGGGATCCTGTTCTCCTCCGCAGCAACCCAGCCAGCCCCTGGTGGAGACACCTCTGCTGCTATCTGCCTATAGTCCCTGCTGGCAGGGTGGGAGACACAGACAGGCACATTTCTCTGTAAACTTGCCTGTCGCTCTGGGAAGTACCATGGCTAAGCCCAGATTGCTTTTTTTGATTTCTTTCTTGTTTTGCTTTGAGTAGGGTTGTTTCTGAAGCAATAACCCCTCTCCGGACAATCAGGGTAGATCAAGTACTTCTCCGATGGAGCTAGACCTGCTGTTACCCGTGTTAGCTTTCCATCATTGTAATAAAAATAACCAAGGTCGGGGCTGGGGAGATGACTTGGCGGTTTAAGAGCATCGACTGCTCTTGCAGAGGACCCGGGTTCGATTTCCAGCACCCACACGGCGGCTACGAACCATCCTTAACTCTAGTTCCAGGAGAATCCGAAGCCCTCCTCTGACCTCTGCGATGTTGCACGACGCGGGTGAACTCACATACATGCGGGCAATACACGCATACACATAAAATAAAAATAATGAATAAATAACCAGGGTCACTGGGTGTGGGTGGCCTGCTCCTCTGATCCCAGCGCTCTGGAGGCAGAGGCAGGTAGATCTCTGAGATCAAGGCTAGGTGTGTCTACATAGTGGATTCCAGGTGGGATAGAATTAGGAAGTCCCTATGAAGTCCTTAACTCTAGTTCCAGGAGAATCCGAAGCCCTCCTCTGACGTCTGCGACGTTGCACGACGCGGGTGAACTCACATACATGCGGGCAATACACGCAGACACATAAAATAAAAATAATGAATAAATAACCAAGGTCGCTGGGTGTGGGTGGCCTGCTCCTCTGATCCCAGCTCTCTGGAGGCAGAGGCAGGTAGATCTCTGTGAGATCAAGGCTAGCTGTGTCTACATAGTGGATTCCAGGTGGGATAGAATTAGGAAGTCCCTATGAAAAAAAGAAGAAGAAGAGAGAAAATGTGGAGTTCTGTGAGCTCTTAAGGAGAAAAGATGAATCTGCCATACAGATTGGAGGTTCTGTGCTGAAAACATGTCTCCTTCTTGCAGTTAAGAGTCCCAGCACCTCATAGTGAGCGCCTGCCCTTGTCCTCGTTTAACTAGTGAGAGCCGGGGCGCAAAGAGAAAAACAGGCCTGGCACTTAAGGCCGATGATGCCCTGACCCCTGGGCCCCACCTCCTAAGGTTTCCCACGGCTCAATAGCCCCCCCCCCCCCAGGCACAGATGTGCCTGTGACACATGGGCCTTTGAGGGACCCTCCTGAGGCCATCCTTACAGGAGGCAAGGAGCAGTGCGCTCCGGGGCAGGAGGCCCTAGACTTCATCGGACAGGTGCCCACCTCACTGAGGTCTTTCTCTCCTTCCTCCTCCGCAGGGGCTGAAAAACTGATCCAGCATCTGCGGAGACACAGCATCCCCTTCGCGCTGGCCACCAGCTCAGGCTCTGTGTCCTTTGAAATGAAGACCAGCAGACACAAGGAGTTCTTCGGGTTCTTTAACCACGTCGTACTGGGGGACGATCCCGAGGTGCAGAGCGGCAAGCCGTGTCCCGACATATTCCTCGTCTGTGCCAAGAGGTTCTCTCCCCCTCCTGCCCCGGAAATGGTGAGCTGGGCCGTGGGAGGAAACGAGCATGTCATCAAATAGTAGCCATGCGGTGTCAGTCCGCTAAACCTCACGGTTTAGCCTTGGCTTCCCTGGGCAAGGCTGCCGTGCCGCCCAGGACCAGGAGCCGTCTTTGCTGCCAGGTTCCGTCGTTGCCAGGGCACTCGGGTTCTTTTTGCTGGCTCCTCATCTGTCAGATAAAAGAATTCTAAAGAGAAACCTCACGGGGTGTGGTGATACCCGCTTTAATCCCAGCACACGGGAGGCAGAGGCAGGCGGATCTCTGTGAGTTCAAGGCTAGCCTGGTCTACATAGTGAGTTCCAGGAGAGCTGGGGCTTCAGGGAGACCCCATCTCAAAAAGACCAAAAAAAAAAAAAAAAAAAGAGAGACCTCGAGTTCCCCTTTTACAGTTAGAGAGGAAAACAGGGCGGCAATCTATGCCCTCTCAGCAACTGCCTGGAGGCAGGCCACCTAGAAGGAACAAGCCGTGCTTTCTCCCTTACAGAGAAGACTGCAGCAGGCATGAGGCAGCCAGGGTCTTTCCTCACACAGAGCACGAGAACGCCCACTGTGTCGCTCCCAACACGATTAAGACTGGTTATTAATGGCAGAGTTAGAAAGGGGGGACGGAAGGAAACTTGAGGCTTTTGAGTTAGAAATCTGAAAAGCCTACGGGCCACAAGCGTGTCTACGGAGGGGCCCCTGAGTGTCTAAGTACATTATCTCATCAGGGGATACTTAGTCCTGTTTGCACATCTTCAGGTGAATCAGCTTTCCGGAGGGCTGGTCTGGCCGTGACTGACTGGCACGGTTGCACTGACTATGAAGGGAATGTGGCCTTAAGGTATGGAGCAGATTAAATGTCATTTCTCAGCGCCAGGATCATGGATAGAACTAGCTTTCTTTTAGAGCTCAACAAAACGCCAGGCCTCCACTTTTCCTGTGGCACTCTAATTCTAAGGAAGGGCAGTTGTGATGCCCTCCTTTCTCAAAATCGCTGTGAGCAGGGAAACAGGAGGTGGGTTCCAATGCAGATCATGAAGGACTAGTCCATCCACGGAGGCTTCCAAGCTTGCGAATGCCTGTCTAGCTACGTGGCACCATGAGGGACAAGTAGCTGTGCCTCGGTCCAGGGGTCACAAGCTCAGAGGACGGGATCTCAGAACTTCTGTGGGGCAGCACAGTACCTATAGGGTGTGTTGCACCAGCAAAGCTGGCTTTCATTGACTTCGGCCTGCACCATCCATTAAGCATCCCTTGAGCACTCCCAACTTGCCGTTCATGTGTCAGTGACCCTTATGTGTCAATGAGCCTTATGTGTCACTAACCCTCATGTGTCAGTGACCCTCATGTGTCAGTGACCCAAGGACCCCGCATCCTCTTCCTAGTGGCTGGTGAAAGCCGGAGTGTTTTGGTTGTTCACTGCGGTTTCCTTTCCGAGGTGAGGTTTTGTTTTTGGATGCATTTTCCGTGGGAAGTTGGCAGCTTGTGTTCTGCGTGCTGAGGACTGACACTCCAGACTTGCTGGCTGCCCAAGTGCAGGGTGCACTGGAGATGGACCCGGGCCTTCCTCCTGTGCTGCCCTCAGCCCACAGTGCTCCTGAGTCTGCCTCCTGAGTGCTGGGATCAAAGGTGCCCGCCAGCACACCCAGCCCGCACCTGTCAAAGTGACACGGCAGGAGCGTTTAGGAAGAGTCCGTGCGGGCCCTCGTCCCTCGGCTACATCTGTGACTCCTCTGACTGGTCTCATCTGTGTGCAGGCACATCGCAGAGTCATAGCCTGACACAGATGAGGCCGCGTGGGTGATGGGAGTGAGGAGCCAGAGGAGAGCAGCCCTTGGCAGCCTGCCGAGGCTCCTGATGGAGGCATGCCCCTCACCTCCAGGGCGCTGTGCGGGTTCTCCGTCCACTTCGGTCTGGAGGAACAGTGCGATGCAAGGCCTCTTTCATTCTCAGCGGTGGTTTGTTTTCATTTGCTTCTAAGGCAGGGTCTCTAGTCCGCCGTGTGCGACCTTCTCAACTTTCTGCAGCGCTAGAGGACATTACGCATGGGAGGGAAGCATTCTGCCCACCGAGCTGTATCCCCAGCACCATGCGATGTGCATGTTGTTTCCTTTGTTTTGCTTCTTTTAGAAAGGGTCCCCTGTATCTCAGGGTGCTTCAGATGTTCCCTGCAGCCTTGGATGGCCTTGAACTTCCCAATTCTCCTGCCTCTAGCTCTTGAGTCCGGGGATGACAGGTGTGTGCCAGCATGCTGTGTGTGTGCAGTACTGGAGCTGGAACCCACCAGGGCTTCGTGTGTGCTTGGCAAGCATTCCACCAACTGAGTCCCATCTCCACCTCTATCGTCAGGATGCTGAGGGATGCTGCTGCATGTTACCACCTGATGTGTCTCTGGCTTCCATGTTGGGGTTTTGCCCTACTCTTTCTCCGGAGGCTTTATCCTGTCGATGTATTGAAATCACTGGCCTTCACTCTTTGTACACAGGTCCCTACATTTTCCACAGAGGCCAGAGAATGGGGCTCCAAGTTCTGGCTTTCTACTGTCATGTTTAGTGTTCTTGAGACTCGGCCGAGGCCCAGCTATGGCCACCTACTAGCATGCACTGAGATGCCAAGAATTTGTGCCAGGAAATGAGAACAAAGACCAAATGGGAATCTCTTCTGCCAGCACAGCTGTGATGGAGCATGGGAACACAGCAACGGACTCATAG